CTAGAGCAGTGCACCAAACGTCATTCTCCAGCGATTTGTTCATTTATTCCATTCCTCCTGCAGCAAATCCTCGTCACACAAAAGACGCAGGATGCCACCTACAGCCAGGCGCTGGTATACCTCGCCTGGGCCTGGATCAGCTGCCAGGAGGCGGACTCCCTGCGAGGCCTGTATGTGTGGGCGCGAGCGAAGAGCAGCAGCGGCAAGTCCTACCAGTGGTTGCAGCATGCGGCAGAGCAGGCAGCCGGACGAAGAGAGGCTGCCTTGAGCGGCTACCAGAACGTGTTGGCCGAGGACGGGCAGAGGCAGGAGCTGGAGCCGCACACACACCAGTTTGTCCTTGCCCAGATGATGCAGTGCCTCCAAGACACGGGCCAGTGGTCGCAGCTGGTGGACTTGAAGCAGCACAAGCTGCTTCGCCCTGAGGACAAGGAACTGAATGCCTTCCTGCAGTGCCGCAACGTGGATGTGAGTGCTTTCGAGCGGCTGCTGGCCAGAACTGAGAGCTCCTCCAACTCCGAGGAGCTGGATGTGGCCCTGCAGCAGCTTAGCCTGTGGCCCAGCAACTGGGAGAGCCACAGCGGAAGCCACAGCCACGTTAGCTTCTCCAATCTCCATGTGCGCCGCCGCCTGGAGGACATCATGCTACATAAGACGCTGATGGAGCCACACAGCCTTCGCGAACCCCAGTCTCCAGCCCGCCATCTGATGGACCTCCACTGGCGCGACAGCCTCCTGAATCCCAGCAGCGACCAGCGGCCCTGCCGCGAGCTCATCCTGCTCAAGCACATCGTCCAGGGGCTGGCCAGCGGGCAGGAGCTCTCCCTCCTGCCTCTGGTCGCGGAGCGGCGGCGTCCCTCGAACGTCTCCAGCGACATATTAGTCCGCTGCCTGGCCTGGACACAGCTCCTGCGCCAGCACTGCGCCGCCGGCAGCTGGGAGACCCTCTGCCTCGATGCAGCGGCAGCTGCCCGCGACGAGGGCAACCTCCAGACATGCCAGTCGCTTCTCACCAAGTATTTCGGCCAGCCGCTGGAGGCGATTACCCACAACCTGATTGGAGGAGATATCCTGGACACGGAGAACGCGCAGGTGCTGCGCAGCTACAGCGAACTGGCCAAGTGCCTGCACCTCCAGCAGACGCAGACGCCGTGCATCAGCTCGGATCTGGGGCCAGCGATCAACGTGTGCGCCTCCCTGTGCCTCAGCCTGCACCGAGGGAGGAGCACCCACCCCCACCCGGACATGGGCGCAGGGCTTCTGCTGACCCTCTCCGAGTGGATCAGCGCCCGCAGCTGCTGCAATGGTAATGCCATGGCCTTGGCCCCCAATCTCCAGTCGCCCGCCGTCGACCAGCTGCTGGAGGAGCTCCCAGAATGCCCGCTCACGCGAGGATCCAGCTCCACCCAACTGGTGGCCATTCCACAGGGCGAGCGCCTGGTGGCCCGCCTCATCCACGCCAGTCTCGAGCAGCGGCCTAACTGCGAGGAGGCGCTGATCGCGTACGGCAACTGGTCCTACCGCTGGGGCAAGAAGATCGTCGACAGCGGCAGCGTGCTCTCCCAGTCGGACGTGGCCGCCCTCAGTCGTGTCCTGGACCGCCAGACGCCGTTGGAGAGCGAACGCCTCAACGAGCTGCTGCAGGCCCTCAGCACGGAGCAGCCCCCCGCCGGATGCGTGGAGGTATGTCCCGAGGCCGCCAAGATACGCGACGACGAAGCCTCCAAGAGCTGCCTGCGGCAGCTGAGCCTGCTGGAGGGCCAACCGGACAGTGTCCTGGAGGAGATCCTTCGGATATGGCGACAGGCCATAGCCAACACGTACGATTTCTACAAGGATGCGGCCCGCTCCTACTTTCAGTATCTCAGCATCAAGGCGGAAACGGGATCCGGATTGAAACCGGGGCACTGCCAGAAGGGGGACAGATTCCGGGTGGACGACAGCAATCTAGTGACCACAACGCTGCGGCTCCTGCGGCTGATCGTGAAACATGCCAGCGGGCTGCAGGACGTCCTCGAGCAGGGACTGCGCACCACGCCCATTGCCCCCTGGAAGGTAATCATACCGCAGCTGTTCAGCCGCCTCTACCACCACGAGCTCTACGTCCGGAAGAGCGTGTGCGCCCTGCTCTGCCGCCTGGCGGAGAGTCGCCCCCAGCTGGTGATCTTCCCAGCCGTCGTGGGGGCCAATCGAGAGAAGCAGCAGCGGCAGGAGATGGAGAAGGAGAAAGAGAGGGAGAAGGAGAAGGAGGAGCCACAGGACAAGAAAAACGCCTGCTACGGATACCTGTTGGGCGCCCTGTCCAAGCAGGCGCCCGAGGCCGTCAAGCACGTACAGCTGATGGTCGAGGAGCTGCGGAGGGTGTGCCTGCTGTGGGACGAGTACTGGATCCACTCGCTGGCGCACATCTACAACACGTATGTGGGCCGCGTGAATGCCTTTGCCACGGAGTTCAAGCCGGACGATCACGAGGGCAAGAACAACCGCTTCAACAGCTGGCGGCCGCAGCTGCTGCTCGACCTGGAGGCCCTCGTGGCGTTCACAGCCCGTCCGCCGGAGACCAGCTATGAGCGGAGCTTCCGCAAGCGATTCGATCTGCACATCAAGTCCACGTTGGAGGTGCTGCGCACCCGTCGCTACCCGGAGGCCTGGGAGAAGCTCAAGCAGCTCTACCACACGCTGCAGGCGAACATGATCCGGGGCTCGGCCACGACCCTCAAGATGCAGACAGTCAGCCCCGTGCTGTGCGACATCGGCCGCATGCGCATCTCCATGCCCGGCTTGGACGAGCAGGACGGGTACGGCGCCGGCGACCAGGAGTCCGATCAAGTGCATATCGAGAGTGTCGAGGGTACGGTGTGCATCCTGCCCACAAAGACGAAGCCCAAGAAGGTGGCCTTCTACGGCAGCAACGGGCAGCGGTACACGTTCCTCTTCAAGGGGCTGGAGGATCTGCATCTGGACGAGCGCATCATGCAGTTCCTCTCCATCTCGAACGCCATCATGGCTTGCCGCAAGGACCAGCCCCGCCCCCAAGGCTGTGCGGCCACCTACTACCGGGCCCACCACTACTCCGTGATCCCGCTGGGCCCCCAGTCGGGGCTCATCAGCTGGGTGGACGGCGTCACGCCGCTCTTCGCCCTCTACAAGAAGTGGCAGCAGCGCCAGCCGGCCATCGCCCCGGGTGGAGGCGGAGGAGGCTGTGCCCCCTCGCACCGCTTCACGGACCTCTTCTACAACAAGCTGACGCCGCTACTGGCCAAGAGCGGGCTCAGCGTGAACGATCCGCGCCGGCAGTGGCCCATCGCCGCCCTGCGTCAGGTCCTCAGCGAACTGTCGGCGGAGACGCCCAGCGATCTGCTCGCCCGCGAGCTGTGGTGCCAGGCGGGCAATGCCGCCGAGTGGCGCCAGTCCGTACGCCGCTACTCCGCCTGCATGTCCGTCATGTCGATGATCGGCTATGTGATCGGCTTGGGCGATCGCCATCTGGACAACGTGCTGATCAACCTCGTCACCGGCGACATCGTCCACATCGACTACAACGTCTGCTTCGAGAAGGGACGCACGCTGCGCATACCCGAGAAGGTGCCCTTCCGTCTCACCCAGAATTTGATCAATGCCCTCGGCATCACTGGCATCGAGGTAAGTCCTTCTGTCCTTACGATTAGGATTCCTATTTTAAAAAGATTTCACAGTAAAGATCACTATATTGTATACATACCACAGTCAGAGATCACTATATCATAGAAATCAATATTAATGAAGGCTATTTTGAAGAGATTCCAGACTTAGAATCAGTACATTATAGAGATTCCAGAATTACGATCACATATTCCATTGTCAGGGATCACTACAGAGTTATCCATTATATTTTGATATTTCATATAGCAAGGATATCACTGAATCACTAGGGATATAGAAATCCATAGGAGAAATCAGTATTGGATCCCTATATTATATGGAAATCTTGAGTTTGGGAGCAATCCAATACCAACAGAACAACAACAGAAACCACAGCAGCCCTTATAAGCCAGGCACTATACGAGTATTATAGGTTTTCCACAACTAGGATCAGTATATACGGTAAATATCACTTGTTGTTAAAGAACGTATCACAGTAGAAACGTATCACAGATCAGCAGTTGAGTTTGGGGAGCATGACCGCGTCCTACCGCAGCGCCTATCCGTCGGTCTGAAACTTCCGCTTTGTGTCCTTCGTATCGCGTCGTAATATAGCTACTTTCTATACCCCATCCAACATATTTGAATGCCCTGCCCTCATAAGCATACAGTACAGGGATTGTCCACACCCCTCCTATCGGGGAATAAAAAGGACCAGTATACATTTGTAGATATGTGTAGTAGAGGATCACAAAGTCGATAAAAGTGACTTAGAAGCGTTGTGAGTCGCTGTTACGGCCACATTTATACCCAATACTCAGTCAGTATGGCTTCCCCCTACCAGAGGGCGCACACTGCACCAAGAAGAGTGTGGGAGAGAGATAGAATGGAACCGCTAAACTTTCATTTGTTCCTCCTATTTGTGGCTATAATATTGATCCGATCTGGTGTGGTCATTCTGTACGATTCTGCGCTTTGGGTTTTGGGTATCTTCAAAATTCTGCACGCCACACATTGCCGCTCTTTGTGCGGGCAATATTTTGAAATACAATTGATTCAATGTGACATCACAGGAGTTTGGATCCAAAATTTCATTGCTTTAGCTTGTATAGTCTATGAGAACCAGACGGACAGACAGACACGGCTATATCGACTCGGCTATTGATGCTGATCAGGAATATATATACTTGATGGGGTCGGAAACGCTTCTTTCTGGCTGTTACACACACGCCAAAAATCTGATACTCCTTTTGAGTATCGGGTATCGGGTAGAAATCGCATCAGTGGACAAATCCTCTACAGATCTTCGGGTTGGATCGAATGGCGAATACACGAATGATAAATGCGGTTCTTTCTTTCGGCTGCTTTATTGACGAAGATCACTGTGTGGGCGAGAGGGAGGGAGGGGACTGAGTGGACTTGGACTTAGAGTCGGATTTGATGGCCGTGTGGTAAGCGGCCGATGATGAGGCGGAGGAGGAGGCCGCCTCCAACTCCCTATCGATCCGGTGCTTGCAGTCCGGTGGCAGCTGATCGGCCTCCTCGTCGCCGCCATCGACGTGGCAGAAACGCGTCGACTTGCAGCAGAGGGTCTGGGCGAAGGCGCGCCGGAAGCCGGAGTTTTTCCACGAGTAGATGATCGGATTGAGGGCCGAGTTGGCGATGGCCAACGAGAAGGTGGTCTTGTAGATCATCGAGCTGCTGCGGCAGATGCTGAAGAGCTGGGCAATCGCCACGCAGAAGTACGGCAGCCAGCAGAGCGTGAAGCAGCCCATGATGAAGACCACGATCTGGACGCTCTTCCAGTCGGGATGCAGCAGGCCCCTGCTGCTGCTGTCCGTGTCGTAGACCACGCACGACGCATGCCTCAGCCGCTGCGCCTGCTTGGAGGCCTCGCGCATTATCCGCCAGTAGACCATCAGCATGCAGATCCAGATGATCACGAAGCCCGGCGTTATTACACCGGCCACGTAGCCCGGGGACAGGACCTCGTCGAATTCGCAGGCTTGCGCCAAAGTCCAGCGGTTCCAGAACACCGGCATCAGGGCCACCAGGGCGCCGGCACACCAATTGGAGGTGATGATGGCATAGGCCACACGACGAGTCATGTATCTGTCATAGGAAAAATGGAAAATGGAAAATGCAAAATGGTAAAAACAATGATGAGTGACGATGCTCGTGTGCCTGCCAGAGACTGTTCCGCGTACCTCCTGTAGTGAAGGGCGTAGACCACTGCCAAGTACCGATCGACGGCTATCGAGATGAGCGTCAGCATGGAGACGCAGCAGGCGCAGATGAACAGGAAGAAGCGCAGCAGGCAGGGGCCCCGCATGGCGCCCAGGTCGGAGCCCATGTAGAAGACCAGGTGGTAGGGCAGGGCCAGGCCCACGCAAAAGTCGGATATCGCCAGCGAGAGGATGAACAGATTTGAGATGACGGAGCGCAGGTTGCGGCAGGTGCGGACGGCGACAATGGTGAGCACATTCCCGCCCAGAATGAGGACAAAGAGCAGCGCATTGATGGCCAGCCAGAGCACATGGCCCGCACTCAAACCGGATGAGTGTGCTCCTGGTAGCGCTCCTGCTCCTTCTGCCGTATGTTCCTCCTCCGCCAGGGAGTCGTTCCATTTAGTGGCGTTCTGCACGGGCCACATGATCGGGTATGGATATGATTCCCCTCCAAAGGCCATGAGGCGGCCGACACGCACGCAGAAAACACAAATTCCGAGAATCGCGAGTACGAGAGCAGATCCAAGCGCACGCGACGTCAGTGGGCAACCATCTGGCAGTGGGCCAGTAGATATTACAGAACCACCGTGCGTCCATGGGGCAAGGACTTCGGTTATTCGGCTCTTCGTGTCGACAGAGAGCATAGGGCAGAGGCAGAGGCAGAGGCAGAGATTCGTGGGCGTCGTTTGTTGTTGACGTTCCGCTGGCCCTGACTGTGGCTGTGGCTGTGGCTGTGGCGGTGCCACCATCGTCATCGATGATAATGATGAACATCATCATCATCATCCTTGTGCCCTGATAACGAACGACAGAGATCCGCAGCGTGAGAACCGCAATCCGTTGATAAGGCCCCGGGCCAGTGCAGGGAACATCAGGGAACAGCAGTCGGAAAGCCAACGAAAGCCATCGAGCTGCAATGGCAATGGGCAAATAACAGCAACAGATCCGCCGCTGGGGGGTTTCACAGATTAGCCTCTAGGTCTCTGGGTCGTTAGGGTCTCCGCGGGCCCCAAAAAAAAAAAGAAAAAAAAAAACAAATCAAATCAAAACAAAAATAGAACGATAAAGTTTTATCGGAGCTTCAGAGTTTCGGCTTCAGAGCTGTTATACATCCCGAAAAAACTGACCATCCGCGCCCATACAGATCTATCTCTGGGAATCTGGGTGCTGGGAATCTGAACGAATGGAATTCGCTCTCTGGCAACAGATGACACATTTGTATCCACGTCGATATCTAGCCATAGATGTGCAGATATCCATTGATATCTATGGGCTCCCAGGGCCCTGTTTGCGTCTGGCGCACACCGTGCTGTTGTGTGCCGTCGTGTGCGGCCAGTTTGTAGATGGATATGGATATACACCTTCTCGTACCTCTCTCGTTTACTGCAAGTTGCAAATTGCAAGCATACAGAGTCTACTCCTTCTTTGGCTCAAATATCATATATACTCGCATCGAAGAAGTCTGCGTATGCGTGCAGCAGCCCCCCTCGGTTGATCTACTGAAAAATGGAAACTTTTGGCTAGTTCAGCTCAGGATGTATTGTTGAGACAAATCCAAAATGAGTCGCAAAAAAACTATATATGCGTCACGTATCGTGCAGTAGCGCTTCTCGGTTTATTTGTTTCTTCGGTTTCTTCGATTTTGGAGGACAATCTTTCTTTTCTAGTAGCGGAGCAGTATCTCCCCTCGGTCTAATGGGTCCACGAGAATCACGCTTCGACGCGTCATGCAGCAGAGCACATCGGTTGGTTTGAGGTTTTTGGACTACACATGCAGTTTCTTTTGTAGTTGGCTCCCCTTACTATCGAACATATATAGACACATATGCACACATGTCAGAGGCCGTTTTTTTAGCAGCTACCACCGGCCGTTACTGCAGTATAATCCCATAATCCCAAGGACCCCGATATATCTGAGGAGATAGCTCCTGGGGGTAGGGGGTATTAGAGGCCTCGATTCTCCAAAGACACCCTTTCATTGTTTCGAGTACAATTCGTAGATACAGAATATGCAATTCTCAAGTGCGACAGATAGATAGATCGATAGATAGATAAACAGGGGGCCATCAGGGGGTAATCAAAAGAGAACAAACTGAGAATGCGGCCTTCTGCCATGGAGCTCCCTCCATGGGCCCCAAAATCTGAACAATAGATATAGATTTATGTACATGAAAGGCGGACGCGATTCGTGCCGGAGCTTATCGCATGAATTACGGGGCAATCTACAATTGTAAACAGCGATTAGAGTCCCAGTCGGAGTCCCTCCGTCCCACCGCGAGGTATCGTACTCGTATACCTGACCGAGAGACAGAGACAGAGACAGAGACAGAGAGAGAGGGCGAGGGCGAGAGAGTGGAGCCTCATGTAGAACATGGTTATGGTATGGTTCTGGTTTATAGGATATCCATGAACCATAAAATCAGCATTGCTAATATCTGTGTATCTTTTTTGGATACAAACAGTTTTATGATATCTATGCTCCATTAATGGGACGGCCATTAAATAATATTGCAGGGCGCCTTTCGTCTGGGCTGCGAGTACGTGCTGAAGGTGATGCGCAAGGAGCGCGAGACCCTGCTGACCCTACTGGAGGCGTTCGTCTACGATCCCCTCGTCGACTGGACGCTGAACGACGATGCCCAGGCACAGCGTCGCTCGATCAATCCCAAGCAGCCGCAGGCGGAGAGCAGTGCCAAGTGCCACAAAAACAAGGACAAGGCCCAGCGACACCGCGCCCCCGACTGGGAGGCCAAGCGTCCGCTCTTCACCGAGAAGCTGGCTCAATTGCACATGTTCTGGTCCACCAATGAGTGAGTAGTCCACGGGAATCCGCGACCCCAGGCTGGGAAAGTCTGTCCATCAATATTTTCGGATTTCCTTTTAGGGAGGAAATCCTACTGCAGTTGCAGGAAGTGGGACAGGAGGTGGCCCATTTGGAGGCGGCCCAAGTGCAGCGCCTGGCAGCGGAGAAAGAGCTCGAGGAGCTGAACGAGCGCAGCGCCCTGGTGGCGGAGATCAAGTCCCTGGGGCCGGCCATGAAGAGCCACAGCTTCAACACGGCCCCGTTGCGGCTGCAGCAGACGCGCAAACACCTGGCCACCCTCATGGAGCTGACGGTGGAACGGCGGGCGGACTTTGCATTCGTCCAGTGCATCCTCGCCAGCTACAGGCAGTGCCTGCAGCCGTATCACCTCTCGCAGCTGTACGCCCAGCTGCAGTCGCTGCAGTCGCTGCACCTCGACGAGGGAGGCGGCGTCGGCAGGTGGCACGAGGAGCACCTGGCCCTGGCGGATGTGCTGCAGATCTACGTCCCCGGGGCTCTCCTGGAAGGAATCGAGAGCACGCGCACGCAGGTGGACTCCCTGCTGGCAGGCATCAACAAGGGGGCACGCCACTGCGCGGATCTCATGCAGAAGTACGCGGCCGTGATGGCCTTCTATCCGAACCAGTGCCATCGGCAGAACCTTTTGGTGAGCTTCCACGAGAGCTATGCGGCGTACCTGCAGCTGGAGGGAGCCGTCGATCCGGCGGCCACCAGTGCCTCCATCTGCGCGACGAGCGTGACGAATCTGGCCGATACGCTGGAGGTGGTGTGGCTGCATCTCGGCTGCCAGCTGCACGACGCCGCTCAGCGGCTTTCCGTCAAGCAATTGCAGATCCTCAGCCTCGTGTCGCCCACGCCGACGGCAACCATACTCCAGATGCTCCTCAAGAGCGATTGCAACCTGCTGCTGCTCAGCAGCCGACTGAAGCGCACCCTGGACTTGGCCACAGCCTCCTTCCGTTCCTACGAGGCGCTGGCCATCGCCGAACAGGACAAAGAGCTCCTGCTGCATCAGGTGAACTACATCCACGTGGTGCGGTCCATGTGCCACGGCGTACTGGGCGCCAGAAGGAACAGCAGTGGCGTTGGCGGCGGCGACGCCCACGACCAGCAAGAGCATGAGCTGCATCTCGGGCTGCTGGATACCCTGCTGAAGGCTCTCACGCAGCTAACGCGGCTGTTCGAGTACGACCTGCCCTTGAGCATATTCCGGCATCTGCTGCTCCAGCCCAATCTCGACCTGCTGCACGAGCTTTCCAAGCTGGGACCGAAGCGGCTGCAGCAGCTCTACATCGACACTCTGGTGCTGGCCGATCAGCGGCCCAAGGAGACGTCTGAGCAGCTGCGATTCATGCTCTCCCTGCAGCCCGTCCAACAGCAGTTCCAGCTGGTCTCTAAGGCCCTCGATGACATGCGGAAGTGCTTCCAGCAGTGGATCGACGACATCAATGCCTCTAATGCCCAGCAGTACCTGGTAGGGAATCCATCCCATCACCTTTTCCAATCTCCATCCTCCGATCTAAGCATCAAACGTTTATTTTTCACAGGAACTAAACCTCTTTAAGGAACACCAGCTGGAGCTGAACGACCACTGCTTCTTTCAGTTAATCCATCAGACCCTGGAGACCAGCAGCAGCTGCGATGTGCGCGAGATGGCGCGACCCATGGGCACCCTGTTGCACTGCATCCAGATGAAGTGCGTTTCGGGACTGCTGCCCCTGGTGGCCTTTGACTACTACACCGGATACGGACCCACCTGCCTGCCACCCGAGAGTAGCTTTCCGCTCGCAGAAGTGGAAAAGGCCGAGCATTTGTGCGGGGGCCTGTGCATGGCCCTGCAGACGGACGCGGGACTGCTGCAGCAGGAGCAGGAGGTGGCCACGATCAGCCAGCAGATCGAGCTCCACTCGCTAGTGGCCTCCGCCCAGTACTGGGGCTACTCAGAGGCACTCGGATCGCAGTTGCGCGGCGGACTGCACATCGTGGGCCGCAAAAAGCTGACGTCGGACATTGCCCAGAGCTGGGGCAGCCTGGTGCGGAGCGTGGCTGGGCTGGAGAAGCTGTTGCTCAGCCTGGACGCACAGCTGGGGCAGCTCGAGGCTCTGCGGAGCAACTGGAACCGGAACCACATCGACAGCATGTTGCGCAACGCGCAGGAGCAACGCCACCAGGTGGCCGCCCATTTGGCTCTCGTCCGGCAGGTGATGGAGGGGGCCAACGCCATTTGCCACCTCGAGCAGATCATAGCTGAGCCGGTAGGCTACGGAACAGAGATAGCTGCCCTGCACAACCATCTGGAGCAGTGGCTGGTGGCGTTCGGCAACTGGAAGGCGAGCTGTGCCAGCGTCAGTGCGGTGGAGCAGGCCGTGGTCGAGCTGCTGGACCCCGAGGATGGCATCGACGACTACTGGCTGCAGAATGTCCAGGGCCTGATCGAGGAGCAGACGTGCAAGGTGCAGCGCGAGTTTGCCATACTCTCCGGGGAGCAGCAGGCCAAGCTGCGGTTCATCTTCACCCTGCTCAAGGAGACGCAGGTAAGTCCTGGCCCTAAAGCCCCTGCTCCGATCTCTGTTCTGATTCTCTGAATTTTGACTACTCGCAGCGTTTGCTGGAGCATGTGCCGCGCTTCTTTGTGGGCAACTTCTGTTCGAATGCCACCAAGGCCATGGGGCACGGACACGGGGGCAAGGCGGTGCCCGTGGATGTGCAGCAGCTGTGCGACCATCTGCGCGACAGCCAGATGCTACTGCAGACCTTCCTCGAGCACCTGACCGCCCTGCGCAAGGACATCTGCACGGAGCGGCACGTCCTACAGCCGGAGCTCGTTGCAGGGTGGCAAAAGCAGCTGCAGCAGATCCAGGCCATGGCCGGCCAGGAGGTCAGCGAATACTTCAAGCGGATCAAGGAGCTGCTGCTGCAGGTCGCCGACTCCGATTCCCTCACATACGACACCTTTACGCACTCCAAGGGTACGCGCCGCCACTACCTACGTTCCCCTATATAAAAAACTAAAGCTCATCCTTTCTCCTCTCCTCCCCCGTAAAGGTGCCGCCAATCTGCACGAACAGAAGCGCAATGCCTATGGCGTGTCCGTCTGGAAGAAGATCCGCATGAAGCTGGAGGGCCGCGACCCGGACGGCAGCCAGCGGAGCAGCATTGCCGAGCAGGTGGACCATGTGATAAGCGACGCCACCAATCCGGACAATCTGGCCGTCCTCTACGAGGGTTGGACGCCGTGGGTCTAGGGCCCGCCAGGATAAACGGCCGCATTTTGGCCTTACTGACATAACACACTCCCCCAGTGGAGGGGGCGAGGGGGGCGGACGACTACATTCAACACTTGGGCGGTAACACTTCTGGCATAGCCGGGACGGGCTGGGAATCAACCAGCCTGTAGCCAGTAGCCAGGGGAAGAGTCCCCAGTGCCACGGCGGACCGGACGCCACCACTCCAATCAAATGAAAATGCTGATGACACGATAGAAAGCGAATGCGAGTGCGACTGCGAATGCGACGGCAGCTTCGAGATCAGGACCAGGACCAAGATTCCTACACAACTACTCCTCTCCGAATAGTCTTGGGCGAGGGTCGTACAAAGGGGACATACATTGGACACATCTGCTCCCATCCATGAGCGGAAAGACAGACTCCCGAAACACCCAATCCGATCTGTGCTGGATCTACGCAAAATTTCACAAGTTATATATTCGTTTTTCTAGATACCGATACAATACCGGGTACATTGTTTAATTATATTTTTTAAGCGGATTTTGTGCCAGCCCCACCCCGCGTCTCCCCCAGTCCGCTCTGAAATTTTCTGTGTTTCAATTTACGCGCAGCCATAGTAAAGTTACCCCCCATCCCCCATACCCCACCCCTATATATATACCCCCAACCCAACCCCTATATAGATCCGTCTCGCCCTTACCCGACAGTGCGCGTCTGTCTGTCTGTGTCCTCCTGCCCACGGGCTACGAAAGCCATAGTTTTAAGCAGGGACCGTAGCCATAAGTTTTTTTTAAATGGGAACAAAGTAGGAACATCTAGGCTGTGGATGCGGTATTGTCTGTGACCTGAAGGGCCTCTGCCAATGAAAAAGAAAAGGATGGCAGTACTTTATTTGTTTATAGATATGTACGTAAATATATAATCATGCCATGGAATGTTTCTGCATTTTGGATGTCCTGTACTCCAAAAAGCCGTCAAGCCAGATGTCTGTCTAGCGATCAATATCAAGTTCTTTTAATTGGAAATCTGTTTTGGCTCGATTATATATGCATATCGTATATATTACGTTTCAATCCCAAATGAATACAGTCCCTGATTTCCTAATTTGGAGATGGTTTCTGTCAGCAGATCACAGATCTGCTGTGCCATAAAATGTAGAGCTACATGATTCCAAAAAGCCTGTCTAAGGTCGTTGGAGTGTCTCGTGATGGTCGACGATTGTATTGTATTGTTATTTATATACCCTTGCAGTTCCACAACCCGTAAACGTGTGTTGCCAATACCTATGACATTTTATAATTGCTTCATTTAGTTGTAGTTTTGGATCAAATTTGACTGAATTATGTAGAAAGATATTAACAGTTGATCAAGTGCATTGCATTATCTTTAAGAGCCAATATAGTTGTATGGTTTTGTTTAGTTTGTAAGCCGAAAATTTAAAAGTTCTTCTCCTGCAAGGGTATGCAAACACAATCCCGTATTGTCGTTCAAACGGGACCACAGCCTCTTGGTTTTTGTCTCTTCCATGAGCTTTCCATATGCTCTTAACCGAGCACTTGCACATACATATATATGAAATAGTATATTGTTATTTGATCTGATTATTGATTACTTACGGTCCCTTGTTTAAGGCGGATACATGGTGTTATCGGTTTGGTTCGAATTGTGTGCCTCCCTCCCGATTTTGTTTTAGTTAATATACTGAATAAAGATTAAATATTATACATCATTATACGATGTGTTCGCTGTAGCCTGTGTGTGGGATCTGTTTCAGAAGGAAAGAAGAGACGCAAAGTCAGACTGCTTCTGTATATGGTATATATAATCACTCGTTTATTTTCTAGAATTCCTCTCGGTTTTTTTGTTTTGTTTTTTTCATGTTACGTGGTAATTGCGAGCGTAATCGATTCTGTTCAATCGACAAATCGAGCATAGATTCAAGTTAACCTTGCAACGCGCTCGATCGGTGTGTAAAAAGTGGAAAGATTCCGTTCTCTTGTGACTTGGTTTTTCTAGGATCAAGACAGAATGTGATTGGCATTCAATTACTACTCGTATTCGGTATTTTCCAAACAATTATCATATATAAATCAATGGTTTACCAATCGTCGATCGATAGTACCTAATATTTATCGCTTTCTCTTGTTTTTATTTGTTTGTTTTTATTTAAATATGCTTTTTAGCTTTTTGGAGAGGTTTGGGGTTCCTCAAACCTCAATCGTTCAATGCAACGCTATAGTTATACAGTTACAATTTATATTTATACATATACATATATATAGATATATGTATATCCACACCTGTATCTGTACAATACATTAAAGTATATCATTTACAAAATAGTTCTTACGAGCGAGAGCGGCCGCCGCTTGCTGCTAAGGAAACTTTTGCGGATCCATCATCAATCATCATCGTCATGATCATCGTGATCCGTATCGATGAGCAATAATAAAAGTATATATATGTATAACATGTAGTTGGTAATACATCCATTCCAAAATATAAAAAAAAACAGTATATTGTAAATTGTAATCGTAATAAACGCACGGCTTGAACGTCAACGACTACTACCGGACTTCGGCGGATATCGGATACATCGGATATGGCTGGAGGCAGAGGCGGAGGCGCAGGCCTAATCATCCTCTCAGCCCTACTACGACCTCGTGTTTGACCAGAATTCTCACATTTTACAAACGGGAAAACAAAGTGGGGGGATATATTTGAAATATTCTCGCGCCTATCTATCTCTCTTATCAGAATTTTCGAATTTCTTCTTTTGTTTAAAACAAAAAACAAACTATACATATTACAGATAACAAACAGAAATTTACAGGAATAAAAGATTATAGAAAATCGTGTAACCTAGCGACATTCTAATATTAAAAACGCTGGCGCACAAACTAAAATGTTTGCGATTGTTTTGAACAAATCTTGAAACATTTTTAGAATCTCCTGGAACATTTCTGTGTGGAAGTTTTAATTTTTCATTATACATTTTGAGTTTTTTGTTCTTTTTTTGTTAGTTTGAAAGTTTTGTGTGGAAGTTTTTTAGCTTTTTCTTTCTCTTTTTTAGGGGCCTTTTTTTTGGTTGCTTTGCTTGTTATCTGTCGTTTCAATCCTTTTTCTCCCGCCTTATATTCTCTAATTTTGCACAATATTTATAATGTTTTCTTTTCGTATATGTATGTGTGTGGGTTGTTGTTGTGTTTGGGAGTTGTTCTCCTTGTGGTTTTTTATGGTGTTCTTGGTTTCATTTTTGTTGGTTTGTTGGTTTTTAGAGTTGTTTACATCTAGCTTTTTGTTAGTGGTTTTAAAATAATAAATACATACATACATACACATATACATATATATATAGTACTCGTACAATTACATTTATAATTACAGCATTATCGTTATAGTTACAAAATATAAAATTTAACATCACATTGGTTGACATTCTTTTGTTGGTTGGTTGGTTGCTTCGCTTAACATTTCCATCATTCTATCATTATCCTTCGATCTCCGATCTCTCGATCCCCCGCATCTCCATCGAGGTCGTGGCCTTCTCTCCTGGTTGTTCCTGGTTTTTGTGGTTTGTGTTGTATTTGTGGGTTGGGTTGGTATCGTCTCAATCACCAAAACATATTTATTCCTCATGCCAGTTTAGCATTTTGTAAATTAATTTCTTTCAATTGTTTTTTGTGTTTGTGTGTGATTGTGGGTAGGGGGGAGTTTTGTGTGTCTGTGTTTCAGCAGTCGATCGTGTCGCTACGGTTACGCGGTCTGCGGGTGGTAGATCAAATTATCCGATATATGTAGATCGATATAGGTAGCCTCTCCTCTCCTCTTATTTTAACTGTCTACTGTCTACACGAAAAATAAATTTATTTATTGGTTATCGAGCTAATTTTAAAATGCCAAAACATACGTTACGCAAAACTGTAGCCTGGGACCCCTGTCCCACGCACCTCTTGGCACCCGGAACCTGGCAACTGGCACCGATGGGGGTGATGCTGCTGCTGTTGCTGTTGCTGCTGTGGCTGCCAGTAGTTCTCGCTGTTATTCTCTCTTGGTCTCTCCCTTCCGTCTACGTACTTTCCCGATCTCTTGCATAACGAACAACTCAACGAGCAAACATCAACAGCAAACACTGCAATAGAAACAAGATATATTCGCATTAGAAATCATGGCCATATATCCGAGAGATCTTATATATTAAGCAGCTGCTAGCTGCTAGCCGCTTGCTCTGATTAGTGTTACACATTCTCCGCTTAAATGCAGTTCCGTTCCCTCCCTCCCCCCCCCCCCCCCCCCCCCTAGGTCAATGGGGATAATTGATAATTACCTACGAAAAGAACTAGTAATTTGTTTTCAAAGCAATCACTACGCAAATACTCCATTTAAATACATAATTAAAACCACATTATATGTCCAACCAACCTCCAAAACTTGGAATCTTCCCTACAATATTGTATGTTATATCTAAATATCTACTATTCTATCTATTGCCATCGGATCGGACAGTATTTCATAGATCTATTGGCAGCTATTGAACGGAGAACAAGTCTTGTCTGTTTCTACATTAATTTCATCGAAATCGGTGGATCTTCAGGGACACCGAAGGCTCCTTTTGTGGGTCTGCATTTCTCTCCTCCCAGGGGCTTAAATCTATGATAGTTCCCCGATTCTATTTTCCGAAATGGTAATCGTTTCTTTTTCACTTTCGAAGGCTTCTTACCGTATGAGGATTACTAATCTCCAGGATGTTCGGGACAGGAGCGATTCACCTCAAACCAACGATCGATGCATCTGAAAACAGACAGAGAGCGTTGATATAATACTGCTGTCAATGCGATGGCCCTCCTTAGGCAGGTATTCCTCGCCTCCCTCACCCTTTGTGATAGATGCAGAGACACGGCAGCCGTGCGATTGTGTCTCCTGGACTCAAGTCCTCCAAACAGATGACGCACTCGCCCTTGGCGTCCGTCAATAGATCCTCTGTCAGGGCCGTAGGAGAATTAACAAATTAGAAAACGAAAGGTAGAGAAAGGGCTTTAGTGCGTGTAGTGGGGAGTGGGGATTGGGGGTGGGGGTGGAGATTGGCCTACCGTTATATGAGAGACGTGGTTTCGTGAGGCACATCACCAGGTGGCATTCAATATCGTCGGGGAGCACAAACTTGTTGCAAACGGGGCACTTGATACCTGCGGAAGGGGATCACAGACGAACAGATGAGTCACAGATGAACGAGTAGATGCAGCAGCAGATGCTGGAAGACATACCATTGAAGGACCAGATGTGCGATGGAAGCGATGTGGCTGTATATACGCGTCCGATCCCATTGGCGGAAGTGGCAGACGCAGCCAGGGCGATGCTCTCGGCAATGGTACCGCCAGTGAGTCCCATATCCTGAAGAGCGGTTGCCGAATATAGTGGAAAGAGTGCGAGTGCGATTGCGAGAGTACTTACCCGTATGGAGTCGCCTAGGGTGCGTCGTTGGGGCATATAGGATTGCGTCGAGGTGCCATTGTTGTTGGCAGCAACGGAGAAGCTGTTGTTGCTGTTCGCCGGATTCGCTGACAAGGCCACGGACACGGCGCCGCCGGTGTGTGGTGGGTGTGTGTTGTGTGTGTGTGCATGTGGGCTGCTGCCGGATGAGGTGATGGAGCCCTGTTGCTGCTGCTGCTGTTGCTGCTGCTGGATGTCCGGCACCGAGCTGAGGCTGCGCGCCCTCTGCCTGTCTATGGAAGTTGAGTTCTGGTTGTGGTACACCTGCAATCCCGGCAGCGTCCGCAACAGATTGAATCCCTGGCCGCCATCACCGCCGACGACATGGCGGCTGCCGACAGCGCCCGAGTCCCCACCCGGTGGCGATGTGTCAGGGGCTCCCGTGGAGCTGCTCGAGAATGTCCTGGAGCGCGGGCTCTGCTGGCCACTGGTCGCCGGTGTGCTCGCCTTTTGACCCATAGAGAACCCCTCCTGCTACTGCTGCTGCTGCTCCTCCTCCTCTCCTCTAGCCACTACAGCTACAGTCCACGACTCCGCCTTCTCCTCCGATTCTGAGTTCGATTGCGTCGCACTGTTACTGGGCTCCTTTGGTGGTGCTGCTGCTGCTGCTGCTGATGCTACCTTTGTGACGTACTTGCGCCGGTCAGTTCCAGTTCCGGCCACCCCCCTACCGCCGGCGGGCGCTGCGTTGCGCTGTTCCTTTGTCTGCTTTTGACTCCTTTGACGGGGCGCCGCGATGGAGATGGAGTTGTGTGCTGAATGCAGTAGACAACAATAGCAAACGCCGTGTGTGTGTTTGTGTGTTCTGCGATGATAATGAATGTCCGTCGGTTGGTCGGTCTGTCCACTCCGTCCGTATAGATGATATCTGTGTGTGCGTGGACTCTTGGGTGTGTGTGTGCGGGTGCTGAGCGAGGGAGCTAGCGACGGGTGCTGGCTGGCGAGTGTGCGTGCACTGGTTCTGGTGTGTGTGTATGTGTGTGTGCAAAAGTGCGGGCAGGCGTTGGGATCGGGGAGGGCGTTAATCGGTCGGTGCCTGGGGTTCGGTTCGGTGCGTAGTTGATTGTTATTGTTGCTGTTGACGGTGTCCTGCGGATCGTATGCCAAAATTACGTTGTGATTGCGCTTAATCCGCGTTTATTGCACTCTTAATTTAAACGACCGTTTCGCCTCCGCTGGGTTTTTCGTTTCGTTTTATGTGTACTCTTTGTATTAATTTTATAAAATAGAGGTGCCCGACAATCAGTCTGATAATTATCGGACTTATCGATAAGATATACCGTCTGACCCTCAGAAATACACAAAAATATACGTGACAAATTTCAAAATCTACCGTAAATATACTGACAAATTATTCAAGTTACATCAATATTCCTCGATTTTGATATTCCGTGAAATATTACTTGCTAGCTAGTAACCTCAGCTCTGAACACATCATTTTATCCGATGGAGAATCAATTTTTTACTTGACTGGCTTAGTTAAAAATGTTCTTTTATTGGATTGTCTAAAAAAACGGTTTTGGCGAAAAAGGTCAACTAAAAAAACGTAAGAGAATAATCGTTCCTATTGCTCAATATGATATTTCTATGAATAATTCTGGCTGACCAAGACCCTCAGCTCTGCCCACATAGTTTTATCCCATTGATGAACAAATTTTCTACAAGATTGGTTAGTTTTTAGCCCTTGCTTTTATTGTGTTTTGACTAAAGGAAGGTTTCAACAAAAAAGTTAAACAAAAAAAAAAACAGTCGCTATGTTGTCACGTCAATGTTCTTGGTATTTGAAGACTTCTTGCTTGTCAAACGGAGTTAGGACATTTGTATACCCCATTTCGTAAACTTTCTACAAAGATACTGTTTTCCAAACTGTTTTAAAACGTATTTAATAAATTCGTGTTCTCAAATTGTATTCATGCATTTGACTAGTTTTTTGTACGTACATATATATATCCTGATACCGATACCAATTTTTGGTCTCTGTAAAAAGACCACTTCCTTTAAAATATCGTTGAAATACCTTTTAAACAGAAACTGACTGGGATGACAAACATTTCCTTAAAGCAAAAATCGCGTCGTTTCCGTTTCAAACCCTTTTCAGTTGCCTTTTAGAACCATGTCCCAAGCGGCCACATCGAATACTATACGGATCAGCAACGAATTTCTGATCGTTTGCCATCAAAATTTCGCACCGTTTACCTATAAATCCTACTAATAGCCAGTTTACACTGGGGCTGCATCGTGTAACATTGCCTCTTGCAGGAGATGCTCATGGAAAAAAATTGAGTCCTTTATGAACGCAGGTGAGTCTATTCGAAATAGGCGACTATTTTTGCACTTTTTACGCGTAAATATTATGGCTAATAATCTTTAAAACACTTTCCTTTCATTTTCGGCCAGGCTGTAAGACCTTCAACGATTTATGGGTGATTTTTTTTAAGTGAGTGAAATATATCCGAAATATACCAAAATAGAATCTCATTTTCAAAATATACCAAAAAATATACCGCGGAAAAAACACTGATATCTTTAATCTTTACCTCCAAAAAAACCACGACATCATTCAAGCTGCTTCCTATTCATGGTTTAATAAGGCTTAAACACAAATTATTAACGGAAAAACTTAATCAATTGGTAACATAACACGATTTGAGAAAGCGTATTCAACAAAAACTTGCGTTCGGATGTTTCTATGCCCTATACTTTTAAATATATATATATACTTACCCATACAAAAGAACAAAATTTAATAAATTAATGAAATTTTGTCGCCAAAATTTAGAAAAAAATATATATAAATACGCATTTAAATATACAGGCCCTTAAATGCCATCCAACGGTCGGTCGGCGCCCCCCCCCCAAAACCTGGTCAAAATATCGATAATATTTTTTGCCAATTATGTGTATCGGCATATCGGTTCCGATAAATATATTTACTGGATAATATACCTTATATATTTTAAGAAACAACCTGGTGCCAGAAAACAATTGGGATTTGCATGTGCTTGGTTAGTGGGCCCGTCAGACGCATCCCTGTGAGCCCCCCAGCTCCCTAGCCCCGTCCCCAAGAGCAGAGCAGAAAAAAATAATATTGTATGCGCCTCCTGCAACGTCGTCAAAAAAAAGGAAGAACAATATTGGTATTTTGGGTATTTGATTTTGATTGCAGTTGCAGCTCAGAATCAAGCACGCCCACGCAGCGAGATGAGTTGGTTCGAGAAGGCCAAGACGGTGCTCATCGAGGCCCTCGACATCCAGGATGACGACCGGGACAAGGCCGCCGAGCGAGAGGGCGCCGCTTCGGGGTCGGGCGGTAAAAGCGGAGGTTTATCGGACTCAGGCGCTTCGGGCCCTGCCGCCGCATCCGTTTCGCAGACGCCAGCCTCGGACACGCCCAAACCCACTTTCTTCGACAATCCCCACGCCAACGAGATGGTAACCATTCCACCCAGAGCCAGCGATCCGGCCGTAACCACGCCCACACCGACATCCACATCCGCTGCAACGGGCATGGGTGGTAATCCTTATGCCAAGCGACAGTCGGCCACATCGGACTCCGTCGACCTGCTGTCTTCGCCATCGCCCACTTCGCCCGAGGGCGACGCCGCCTCCGCCATGGAGAACTCGGAATCCTCGCTGGAGCTCATCACGGCGACGACGGCCAGCGAGATAGAGATGTCGCCGGACACGGAGCCCTCGCTGCCCGACAGCATCGTGATCATAGCCAGCAATGAGACTTCCGACAATGCCGAAGGAGATGGCGAAGACGACGACGACGACGAAGATGATGGCACACAGCTGGAGCGGCACCTGGAAGATCATCTAAATGGTGAGTAGTGCAAGAACATAAGGGACCACTCATTGCCTGTGGACTCGATTCTCCTCTTAGATTCCACAAAGACCATGAAGGCCCTGGTGTTCAGCGACACTCAAGCGGCCGCCAATGTGACGGGGGGTGCCGATTCGGACTCCACGCAGAGTTTCGAGGACATCCAAATGCAGATGAGCCACAAGGACAAGGCCGGTGGACAAGGACAAATGGGGGCCGAGGCCGGGGCCAAGGCGGAGATGGTCGACCAGAGCTATTCGTCCACCTCCTCGGACATCGAGATCATCTCCAATCCGAACGGGGACTCCAGCACCAACAGCACCACGACGCGCACGAGTCCGCAAAAGTTCAAGGAGCTGGGCAGCAGCCGGTCTGGGGCTGGGACAGGGACAGGGTCTGGGCTGGCAGGACAGGTGCTCAAGACCAAGGGGCACTATCGTGAGCCCTCGGAGATATCGCTGCTGTCGGAGGACTCGCAGTCGGAGCTGGACAAGCTGGTGAATCGCATCAGCGAGCTAAATCAAGTTATCGAGGCTCGGGAACAGCGGCTGCTGCAGTCGGAGCGCCAGAATGCCGAGCTATTGGAGCGCAATCAGGAGCTGCGCGCCTCCGTAGAGGCGGCGGCGAATAGCGCCAACAGTCCCGATGCCGCGGAGGCAGTGCAGCGGCTGTCGGCGCTGGAGAAGAAGTTCCAGACAAGCATCCGGGAGCGGGATGCGCTGCGCATCCAGATTAAGAGCCTCAAGGACGAGCTGCTTAACAAGATACCCAAGGACGAGCTGGCCGAGTGCAACGAGATGATCGCAGCGCTCCAGTCGGAGGGCGAGAAGCTCTCCAAGGAGATCCTCCAGCAGTCGATCATCATCAAGAAACTGCGCTCGAAGGAGAAGACCTCGGACACGCTTCTCAAGAAAAACGGCGATCAGATTTCGCTGCTGTCCAGCGAATCGGAGCGGCTGAAGAAGTCTCTGGCCGCCAAGGAGGAGATGGAGCGCTCGCAAATCGAGGCGGTGGGTCGGATGACCCACGAGAAGCGACGCGTCGACGAGGAGAACGCCGAATGCCGCAGCCGCGTCGAGGATCTGCAGTCGAAGCTGTCGGCCCTCCAGTCCAGCTTCGACGGCGTCAGGGGCGATCTGGTGAAGCGGACGCGCGTGGAGCAGGACAGCCTGAGAGCCGAGAATCAGGAGTATGTCCAACAGCTGGGCGACATGCGGGAGAAGCTACGCCACGCCGAGCACAGCCTGGCCAAGCGGGAGCAGCAGCTACGGGAGGAGAACCGCCAGCTTCTGAGGCGCCTCGAGGCCGCCGAGCTTCGGGCGGAGAGCTCCACGCAGGAGCTGAGCATCACCACCACCCCGCTCATCCGCCAGATCGAATCGCTGCAGAAGACCCTCAACCAGCGCACGGCCTCGTGGAACAAGGAGGAGCAGCTGCTGATTCAGAGGGCCGAAGATGCCCAGCTGCAGCTGCGCTCGATGCAGCAGCTCGAGTCCGTGCAGAACGAGAAGCAGGAGCTGCTGCGCACGCGCTGCGGACTCCTCGAAGCGAAGCTCTCCAGCGCCCTGGCGGAGGCGGAGAGTGCCAGAATGTCCCTGCGCCAGCTGGAGCACGATGCCAGCCTCAAAGAGAGCGCACACAGCAGGTTTGTCAGCATTTTCCAGATCTCTCCAAAAAATCCTCCTTAATCCATACTTTCGATCCATTCCGATCCACAGGCAGCTGGCCACGCTGCTGGAGGAGCTGCAGGTGCATCAGGAGAGGATTGTGGGCCTGGAAGAGCTGCAGTGTCAGCAGCAGGAGAAGCAGCACGCCGATGCCGGTGCCGAGGCCGAGCAGGAGGCTGTGAAGCGGCAGCCCGTGCCCAGCCTGCTTACCGTGGAGGCCGTCAAGGCCAGCAGCGAGATGCAGCCACAAAAAGTCCCCGTTGAGCACTCGCCTCCGCTTAGTCTGGCCGATGACAGCGGCTCCACGGAGGAGGCGATGATGGGCGGCATCATCGACTGGCAGACGGTAAGCCTGGGCCATTCCCTGGGACAACTGTGCGATGACTCATTGGCTTCGTATCCACAGGACGACCTGGACTGTGCCTCCAACTCGGGTCGCAACCAGTCTGGAATCATCCAGGGCGTCCACCTGAGCTTCATGGCGGGCAATACCACCACGCTGGAGCACCTGCAGTCGCTGCTGAAGCAGCGCGACGGCGAACTCACGCACCTCCAGTGGGAGCTGTCGCGCCTGCAGGCCGAGCGCGGAGTCCTCGATGGAGAGATATCCCATTTGACAATTGAACTGGAAACGGTGAGTAGTCGCTAGAGTCGTCCGTCCTCCAGTTAACTGGGTAGATAATGGACGTATACTTGTCCATTCACAGATGAAGGAGAAAATGCAGTCGTACGAGACCATGGAGAAGTGCTACGAGGACCTGCAGCATCGCTACGATGCCCTGCTCCAGATGTACGGCGAGAAGGTGGAGCGCACGGAGGAGCTGGAACTGGATCTGGTTGAACTGAAGTCGGCCTACAAGCTGCAGATCGACGAGCTGCTGGCCAATCCACCCCCGAACCTGCAGAGGCCCGCGAAGCAGACATGATTGCCGGAACGAAGAAGGATCTACTGTGCCCAATCGTTGCCCGATCTGGTATGCCTGCGGCGAACCTAGAACCATTCCCCAGTCGCCACTCCCATTCCGCATCCCGATGGCTCATATTTGTATCATACAATACTCTGGCTCTCGTCGGGGAATGGGGGGGCGGACGGTGCGGCCAGAAGCTGTTGGCTCTCATTCCTTTGCTTCTAATCCCAGATCTAGATCCAGGTCCTCCCCATGTACAATATTTATGATATTCCCCTTCCCCCTTCCCCCATTGTTTACCCCGATATATCGTATACATATAGAATATTTTTTTGCGTGTGGTTGAAACCACCCACCTCCCCCCCTCTAGTTATATTATGAATTCGATCGATTGTGATAATTTAATTTATACTTAAACATAAAAGTTATCGTGTCTATGACTATGTACAAAAAGCTCTTTCCGTTTCCGTTCTCCGTTCTAGTCCGATAAGCAGTTAAAGGGGGAGGGACGGGACAGGATCCCGCTTTCCGCATGCCGCAACCCTTCTCTCTCATAATAAATCGAAACACCATTGAATGCACAACAGAATTGATCCTAAAATCCATTGAGGGACACAGCGGTCAGCGTTCTCGCAGCGTTCCTTCTCCATCCAGGATACCCTTTACCGCTTGCGTCAGAGGAAAAATAGGTTTATGGTCCCCCTCCGACGTGGCCTGGAATCGGCAAGAGTTCCTCAGATCATCCGTATTCAGGGAGAAGACCATGACGCCCCCCAGATTAAGCGACTTGATGAAGCTCGTCTTGCAGGCGATGCTGGTTTGGTTCTCGTACGATATCCACTCCTGCAGGCCGCTCAAATACGGCGAGCACGTCTCCGTGTCGTAGGAGTAGATCGGCTTCAGGTATCTGGCGGCACATTCGCACGTCTGCGAGAGCGTTGTATAGCCGTACTGGCCGCACTGTCCATAGCCCGAGGCGGGTGCCCCAATCCGATGATTCAACGGACTGACCAAACTATTTTAAAACAAAGAGAATGAGTTTTAGCAGAGCAGATCATGAGGATGACATAGGACCTACGTGAAGGAGTGGCCATAGGTCGGCAGCCCGACGACCAGACGGTGCGGCTCCAAGCCGTTCTGCAGCCACCAGTGAACTGTGTAGTTGATGTTGAACGTGGCCATGATCGACATATCGGTGGCGTGGGCATAGAGGGGGGCGTTGAGGCCGGTGAAGGGCGTGTCCTTGCGATAGAAGTGAAAGTCGTAGGCCATCAGGTTAACATAGTCCGCGTAGAGATTGATCTCACGCGTGTCGTAGGCGTAGAAGGCAATGCCCTCAGGGGCAGCCACGGCCAGTGAGAGGAGGGCGTTGGGGCGGCGCTCACGTCGCCACTCCTGCCGAATTTCGTATAGCAGCTGGGAGAGATGCTGCCGATCCTTGTCGTAGGCACTGGGAAACTCCCAGTCGAGATCGATGCCATCCAGGGCGGGGTACAGCCGCAGCAGGGCCTTAAGGGAACGCAGAAACTTCTTGCGCATCGCATGGTTCGCCACCATGCGGGCAAACTGGGTGCCGCTGTCGGCGCCGCCAATCCATAGGAGCAGCTTCACCTGTGGATGGGCCGCCCGGAAGGCCAACGTCTCGTTCTGCAGCACCTGCCGCAGTCGTGGGCCCAGCCACAGCGTGGCATTGTCCAGGCTGGCTATTCCGATATTGATGTGCGTGCACAGGTCCCCAGGCACGTCTAGCAAGCTCAGGGCATCCGCATCCACGTCTGCATCCAAGGTTGAGTAATAGCAAACCAATCGATGGGGCGTTGCACTAGGCTCCTCTGCTTCTTCCCAGCTCACGCTTCCCTGCTTCAGCTGCATGCACACCACCACTGCGATGGCAATAAACATAACTAACGAGAGCAGGGCGCTGAAACAGATCAAAGTTCGCGGAAATCTGTTTTGTGACGCTTTGTATCCGCTTCGCTGGTCGCTGATCCAGTTGGCAGTCATGGCCATCGGTTTCCCCGGAACGGTGTCCTCGATTCTGCTGTAGTGCGCCATATTCTCTTTGTTTTGACTGCTGACATTAGGGTTTCTTATCAAACCAAATTTTGTTTTGTTATTCAAACGAACAAAAACAAATTCTTGACTGCAGTGATCCTTAACCCACCGAATCCACTGTTAAAAAACTTCTACATAAACAGGTGAAAACCTTGAGTCAAAACGCAGAAAATAATACAGTTTTTCAATTTTCCTTGTAGTTCCATCTTCTCTCTCTCCTCACAAAAAAAATTACCACAATTTATCTTCATTAATAATCTTCAGTTTCATACTTTTAAATTTCCTCTGGTCCATAATGGGCTTAGGGTCATGATTAGAAATGGATATATTCCTCGATTTTGATATTCGTTTTGGTATTACTAGCTGGCAGTGAGCATTGAATTTGGTCCGATAAATTAATCAATTTTCTACAAGACTGGTTTATACTAACATCTTCCCTTTTATTGGATTCTTTATAAAATATCGTTTAACCAAAAAGTGTAACAATAATTGTCATTAAATTTATTTGTCGTAATTACACGGTTAATACACAGTTGTTACATTGCAACTACATATAGATGTAACTGACATCGCATTGCCTAAATAACAGTGAATCGGTGAGCTTCCGTCTCCGGCGTGTTTGTGTAAGCTTCTGCCATTTGCGGGCCCTTTCCTTATTCTTTAAAATGAAATACAATACACAAATATGAGGTTAATTATTAAGTGCATTTTATCAGTATGTCAATTGTTGCCCAGTCCGTCTGTCCACCGCACGACTGAAGTAGGTCTTGTCTATAAAGCCATCGACGCCAGCACAGAGGATCACATTGTTGCTGGAGCGGAACAGCGGCAGATTGTCGGCCAACACTTTGGCCACATCCAAGTAGACCAACAGTTGGCTATCGCTGCGGAAACCACTCAAAGTCTCACCCACATCGCTGACTGCAAAGTGCACATAGTTCCGCCGCAGGCGGCCCAAGCCTTGTGCTTTGATTGCCTCCCAGCACCTGTAGTAGGTTCCATGGACAGCTAGAGGAACCTGCTTGGCGTTCGAAATCCGCTCCAGACACGCTTCGCCCTGCACTGCCGCCAACGAATGTCCCTGGTTGGCGCGTATCTCATGGAATTTGGCGTCCTCATTCCAGCGCAGGATATAGCGCTGTTTGGCATCGTCAGCTACAATTTCTTGCAGCTTTTGAAGACTAAAGACTACGTAGCGCGGGTGTGATTGTATGTCTGAGATATTCACGAAGCCATCGGCTTGGATGGCAATGCCCTCCTTGACAGCTCCATGCCGCAACAGCCACGTGAGTTTTTTGCTCAACTGTACATTGCTCTCTTGTTTGGGAGGCATATTTTGCCAAAACAAACTATGTAACTTTTATTTTAATTTCGCCAGTTTGGACCGCACGTAGAACTAGTGTAATACAGCGGAGAAACATCGATGCTAATATCTATGGAATCGATGTTTTGATGTTGCTATCGGTGACAGGTGCGCCTTACAGCACTTATACAGGCTCAACGCCATTTCAAACTGAAATTTCAAATTCCGAAACAGAAGTATATTCTGACTAGGAGGAATACAATTGATTTAATAGATTTTGCAGCAAGATTTCTTTTAGAGAAATATATCCTGTATTCAGATGGCCCCAGGGCGACATCAGTCAACTGAAAATGGTTGATTTCTTGAGAAGTTGCTCTCCTATTTTTGAGAAGAGCTTCTACTTTCTCAAGGGGAAATAAATAATAAGTGAAGAGTAGATCTATAGGCATCGTATATTCGATTTTGAAATCGCTTTATTTTATTTGAATTCAATTTTTAATCCATTCTCTTTGTGTTGTGTGTGTGTGTATGTGCAACATGTCTTTTACAGTTTAGAATTAAGTACACTTTTCGTTAAAATTAAGTACTCGTAAGTCATAAAAGGCTAGGTATATAATTTATTTGTTCCATAATAAATGTATGTTTTAAGTTGTTGATTTTTTTTGTTGCTGTTGCTGTTGCTGTTGCTCCGCATTATAAATAACTGATATACTTGAACATTTGCTTTTTGTTGTTGTATATTTGATACTACAATACATACGTATATTGAATTATATATATATATATATATATATATATATATACATATGTATGTATGTATATGCATGCAATTGATTTAAATAAACCTTAATATTTGTTGTCGTGTGTGTGTATGTGGTTTAGCTTAAACAAACGCTAAATACTCGTAAGTGAAATGCTTTGGTTATTGCTGTAAGAAGTCGACTAATATAATTATATTTATATGAATTAACCGTCTATGTATACTTTCGTATCGTATCGTATCGTACCGTATGTATGAATGTGTGCATATGTATTTAGGTGTATGAATGTTGGGGTGTGTGTGTGAATGAATGAGTTTTCATTAAATAAACTACGTCTACCACTAAGTACTACAGACAAAAAAAAGAACCATGCATACAAATACATATACATACGAGTACATGTACATGTACATGTACATGTGCATGCACATTCATGTCTAATCTTAATTAATTGACTAACATTTAGTTTCTTGCTTAGTCTAGAGTTTAAGCCACGCTGCGGTTCTCAAGGCCCCCGAATTCAATTTACAATCTCTGGCTTACACATACGTATGGTATAGTATTTATGATATATGTATGCATGTATTATGGTTAATCTATATGGTTGTGTTTGTATTAGTATCGCCTCTGGTTTTCGCCATCAAGTCTTTTCGTTTTTGTTTCATGTCATGTAAAAATGTTCGTTGTTTCATTGCAGCTACTTATCTCCTAATCCCTTTTTTCGAATCGAATCGAATCAATCGTTATATCTAGTGGGGGTCTTATACGATCTTCTGCTTTAGTTTTTCGCTTGCTAATTTTGATTACATATTTCCTTTCATTCTTTTTTTGTAACTTGTCTACCACATCCGGTTGGACCGCTTAAACAATGGAATGCCACACACTTTGAAACAAAAATATAGTAATAATAATATTAATGCTGAAAAAAAAAAACGTACATACAAACATACAAAAAAAAAAGACTTTCTTTAAGAGTATAGATTACAGATATTATCATTATTATTTGAAACTATTTAAGCTTTGGTATACGTAAGGCGGTAAATGGTTGTTGCTTGTTGCTGTTTCTTCTTCCTCTATGGAGGTGTGGAGGAGGCTTGACTGTAGAAAGTATGCTATGCTTTGCCTACTGGGATGACTCCGGCCCCCTACTTGTTGTCCACTCCCAGGAGCTTGGCCGCCTCGTCGGCGGAGGAGAGCAGCTTGTTGAGTATGCCCTGGTCGCTGATGCCCAGGAGATTTCCGATCAGATCGGAGCTGGCCACCGCCGCGGCTGACGGGGTTGCCGCCTCTCCGATGTTCTCCTTGTGCTCGCCCAGGCGGCTGGCCCGCCACTCGCTCGAATTGTCCAGCAGCATGTGCCGCATCGGCAGGCGCAGACCCATCTTTGCATTGGCGTTGGTGTTGCTGTTGTTGTTGTTGTTGTTCTGGCAACTGTTATTGTTGTTGGTGGGAGTGGGGGTGGTGCCGGTGGCCGGTGCCGGTGCCGGTGCCGGAGTGGGTCCTGGGGTGGATGGAGGAGTGGCGACCTGCTCATCGTCGGAGCAGTCGGAGCCAGGATTGTCGCCGTTGTGGGCTCGTCCACTGTGCTTCTTCATGTGGCGCAGCATGCTGTGCTTGAGGGTGAACTTGCGGAGGCAGATCTCGCACTGGAACGGCCGCTCCCCGGAGTGGGTGCGCATGTGGCGGCGCAGGTCCTCGGTGGACCAGAAGCGGCGCAGGCAAAAGGCGCAGATCACCTTGCGGTTGCTGTAGTCCGGATATTTGCCAGAGGCTCCGCGTGCACCGCCGCCGCCGCTCGCCTCATCGTCGGAGCCGGCCCCCGGGGTGCTCTGCTGCTGCAGGAGATGCTGGTGGTTGGACTCCCCGGCACGGGACTCCGGCTCGATGGCTCCCTTGGCCAGGAGCAGGGCAAAGTCGTGGGCATGCGACTGTTTGATGTGCTCGAGGCAGTGCAGACGCTCGGCGAAGGAGCCTTCGCACAGGTGGCACTTGTACGGCAGATCTCCGCCAGCGCCGGCATCGGCCGCCGAGGCAGCAGCGACCGCATTCATCTGAGCCGCCAGCTTCTGGATGAGCACCAGGCGCTCCTTTTCGAGCTCGCGCTCCCGCTCCAGCTCGCGTTCGCGCTCCAGCTCCTTCTCGCGCTCCCGCTCCCGCTCCAGCTCCAGTTCCAGCTCCCGCTCGCGTTCGCGCTCCCTCTCCGCCTCCTGGCGGCGTCTCTGCTCCTCCAGCTCGATCTCCTCCACAGACTTGGGCACTGGTATCGGCTCGCTGACGTCCTCGGTGGGCACGTAGACGGACATGGCGGACTCGACGTTGCCGTGCTTGCGCAGCAGATGGCGGTCACAGTTGCTCTTGGTGGTGAAGAGCAGGGGGCAGTGGGAGCACTTGAAGGGCTTCTGGCCGGTGTGGGTGAGGATGTGGCGCCGCAGCGAGCTACTCCAGGGGAACATGCGCTGGCAGTAGGGGCAGGAGACGCGATTGGGGGCCAGGCTGTAGGCGGACTTCTTCTTCGGCTCGCTGCCGGAGCTGCTGCTGGTGACGTCCTCCGTTCCGGAGTTGTTGCTCTCGCTGGCGCTGCCGGAGGCCACGAGGCCCTCCTCGTCGCTCTGCTCCATGTGGTTGGCCACGTCGCTGGGCCGGAAGTAGCTGTTGAAGCTCATCTGGCTGCTGGTGGCGTTGTCTACCAGCTTGGCCACCGGCACCAGGTCCTGCGACTCGTCCTTGAAAGGGGAGCTGGCGACCTCCTTCAGGGACTTGGCCACCGACTCGGCCTGGGCGATCATCGACTTCATGGTGGGATTCGGCGGACTCGGCTCCGGCATCGCGTTGCTCGTCGGCTCCGGACTGGGCGACGGCGTTCGCGTGCTCATGGGCGTGCCAGTGGCAGTGGCGCTGGGCGTGGCCTTGCCCGCCTTGATGGCCTGCTCGAGGATGGTCTCGGCCATCTTCTTGGCCGCCTCCTTGGCCGCCTCCTTGGCCGCTGCACTGGTCTGGGAGA